CTACCCCACTCCAGCTCCCCCATCTAATAATGCCCTCACTACCCCACTCCAGCTCCCCATCTAATAATGCCCTCACTACTCCACTCCAGCTCCCCAGCTAATAACGCTCTCACTACCCCACTCCAGCTCCCCCATCTAATAATAGTCTCACTACCCCACTCCAGCTCCCCGTCTAATAATGCTCTCACTATCCCCACTATAATACTCGCTCTCCCCCAGCTTATACATGCATTCTGTCTCTGACCCACCCAGACCCCCAGCTTGTACATTAATTCTACGCCCTGTTAATCTGCTCCCTCTGAACTAAACCCTAAAAAGAGGGAGCAAAATGAAGGTAGCAGTAATGAAAAAATCTACAGAACCAAAGCATTTCACTCATGGGGGTAGGAATATTCATATAGTGTAAAAAGTACATACGAACATGATTAAACTCCCAAAAGGAATGTTAGCCACCTCCTGCGCAGTCCGGTATTATCTCGCACACACTATTACATGTGTACACTGTACAGACAGTGAGAGAGGCCAGTATTATAACTGTCTGTGCTGTGTACACATGTTATATTGCAGCAGTATGTGTGTGTCAGGTATTATCACTGTCTGTGCTGTGTGCACATGTTCTATTGCAGCTGTGTGTGTGTGTCCGGTATTATCACTGTCTGTGCTGTGTGCACATGTTATATTGCAGCAGTATGTGTGTGTCAGGTATTATCACTGTCTGTGCGTGTGTGTCCGGTATTATCACTGTCTGTGCTGTGTGCACATGTTATATTGCAGCTGTGTGTGTGTGTGTCCGGTATTATCACTGTCTGTGCTGTGTGTACATGTTCTATTGCAGCTGTGTGTGTGTGTGTCTGGTATTATCACTGTCTGTGCTGTGTACACATGTTTTATTTCAGCTGTGTGTGTGTGTCCAGTATTATCACTGTCTGTCCTGTGTACACATGTTTTATTGCAGCAGTGTGTGTGTGTTCAGTATTATCACTGTCTGTGCTGTGTACACATTTTATTGCAGCAGTGTGTGTGTGTCCAGTATTATCACTGTCTGTGCTGTGTACACATGTTATATTGCAGCAGTGTGTGTGTCCGTTATCACTGTCTGTGCTGTGTGTACATGTTATATTGCAGCAGTGTGTGTGTGTGTCCGGTATTATCACTGTCTGTGCTGTGTGCACGTTTTATTGCAGCAGTGTGTGTGTCTGGTATTATCACTGTCTGTGCTGTGTACACATGTTTTATTGCAACAGTGTGTGTGTGTGTGTGTCCAGTATTATCACTGTCTGTCCTGTGTACACATGTTTTATTGCAGCAGTGTGTGTGTGTTCAGTATTATCACTGTCTGTGCTGTGTACACGTTTTATTGCAGCAGTGTGTGTGTGTGTCCAGTATTGTCACTGTCTGTCCTGTGTACACATGTTATATTGCAGCGTGTGTCCGTTATCACTGTCTGTCCTGTGTACACATGTTTTATTGCAGCAGTGTGTGTGTGTGTGTTCAGTATTATCACTGTCTGTGCTGTGTACACATGTTTTATTGCAGCAGTGTGTGTGTCTGGTATTATCACTGTCTGTGCTGTGTACACGTTTTATTGCAGCAGTGTGTGTGTATGTCCGGTATTTTCACGGTCTGTCCTGTGTACACGTTTTATTGCAGCAGTGTGTGTCTGGTATTTTCACAGTCTGTCCGGTGTACACATGTTTTATTGCAGCAGTGTGTGTGTGTGTCTGGTATTATCACTGTCTGTTACCATTAGACAATTTCTTGGTTCTCTTGTAGTCTAAATTGTAACAAACTGAAAACCGAATGGTGAAACATAAATAAAATGCTGAACGATTTCTAAAACACTCCTGTAAATGGTATTGCTGCCTTCTACAATTTTGTATTGTACGGAATTTAACGCCTACTCACACAGTAGATTGTCAGCTCCTGTGCTCGGTGTCGTTTAGTACTGTGGTATTTAATCAAGCTTTCCCTTTATTTTCCAGGACTCTCTAAAGCCGGCATTCACGGTCACTAACCTGCCCGGTACCTCCAGCATACAGACGGCTCCCACCACCTCCACATCCATGCAGGTCAGCAGTGGGCACTCCTTCCCAATCACCAACTACTTGGCACCCGTCACAAGTGCCAATGGAACCGTACTGAAGACTGAGGGAAATGCCATGAGTTCAGCTGGTCTAATGCAGCTGCCGACTGGCTTTACACTCATGTCTGGTAAGGAATCCACACAGGAGGTAATGTTTCTGATCAGACTGCCACGTGCTAATCACCTCTGACCAGCAGACATACTTGTAGAGTAGGGGTTCCTAATTAATTTTTCCCGTGGAACCCTTTGACAGTGTACCAAAATCATGGAACACCACAAATAATTTTGCGCCGCAGCACAGCATTTTTGTTTAATCGTGCACAATGGTTTCTTATTTGTTATGTATTCACGAATTACCACATGTAGGAAGATTGTTGTACTTAGTAGCAGGTGTGTTTCTGTGTGTAGAGCTGGTCTTTGTATATAATGTTCGCATTTTAATACGGGGTGTGTGTTTCTAATGTTGGCATTTATATGCAGGGCTGTGTTTGGATCTACTGTTGTCCTTTTAAATGTGGATGTACATTTGTGTGTAATATTGGTGTTTGAGTGAAGGGCGCGTTTGTATATAATTTTGGAGTTGAGTTCAGGAGTGTCTCTGTACACACTCACACTCCTCTTACCTTTTTCTGCTTGCTTGGAGTGCTGCTGGTGTGTGGAGTCTGCAGCAGTTCCCTCCCGCTGTCGCCTTTCTCAATTCTTGTGCTCTCCCAGCATCTGATTGTACAGGAGCCGGGTTGAGGTCTTAAAAGGCGTATGGCTGGGTCCCCGTTGTGCCAAGCGATGGGCAAATCTGAGCAGAATCAGTTTTGTTCTCGTGGGACCCTAGGGTTTCGCAGAAAATCAATTGGGAAACCCTGTTCTTGAAAGTTGGGCGGTGTATGGCTACAATATTTTGCAGCTAGGGTGACATTTGCATTCTTTTAGTATTTTTAACCTTTTGGGTTTTCCTTGGATCTCCTTTCTTCAAAGAAAATAAGGTGATTGAGTGCCATTTTGCTTTCTATCAGCAGGGGGAGCTGTAGCACAGCAAGTGCAAGCCATCCAGGTTCATCCAGCCAGTCAGACATCACCGTCCAGTGACAGCAGCTCAGAGCTGATTCAGACATCTTCCAGTGGAACAGGTATGCCACCATCAATCTATAGCAGTTGCCTGTGCTTAGTTGCCAGCAATATGTAGGAAGTTTGTGTGCCTGGGTTTATCATCTAGTGGTATATAGGTCCTCCTAATGCCCATAGTTCCTGGGGTAAGTGCTGAGCAGTCTATAGCACCCTCCAGTGCCATGGTTAGCAACTATCTATATAGAATGCCCTCCATTGCTTGGATTTATCATCTCGCACTATTAAATGCTCTCCAGTATCTGGGGTTAGCACCACGCAGTATTAAATGCTCTCTAGTATCTGGGGTTAGCACCACGCAGTATTAAATGCTCTCCAGTATCTGGGGTTAGCACCACGCAGTATTAAATACTCTCCAGTATCTGGGGTTAGCACCGCACGCACTATTAAATGCCCTCCGGTATCTGCAGTTAGTACCCCACGCACTATTAAATGCCCTCCGGTATCTAGGGTTAGCACCCTGCACTATATTAAATGTCCTCCAGTATCTGGGGTTAGCAACCTGCACTATATTAAATGCCCTCCAGTATGTGGGGTTAGCACCCCACGCACTATATTAAATGCCCTTTAGTAACTATGATTTGTGCCCAGCAACTGCTATTTATCAAATGTGAATTCTCTTCATCCAGTGACATTACCTGCTGCCATCATGACCTCTTCAGTGCCTACAACTGTTAGTGGGCACATGATGTACCCCAGTCCACATGCCGTGATGTATGCTCCCACTCAGGGTTTGGCGGATGGCAGTCTAACCGTGCTCAATGCCTTCTCCTCTGCTCCTTCCATGCAGGTGTCACACTCACAGGACCAGGGTAAGTACAAGTTTCACTCGTTGTGCAATTCCTCATCAAACAGTGATTTCCAGTAACCCCATCTCATCCACAGGAGGCGTACAGCAGGTGTTTCTAACTGCCCCGTCTGGTACTGTTCAGATTCCTGTGTCAGCAGTGCAACTCCACCAGGTAATGAGACCCATCAACTATAGTCTGTCAGCTGTGGGTTTTACTTGGAGAGAGCGGTTTTTTTTTTCGTTTTCCTTTGGTTTATGGAGACAGATGAAAAGAAGAAACACAAGAGCGGGCTATAACTCCCACACTTTGCAATGGCTAGAATTCAGCTTCCAAGTGCTTTATATAAATTTTTCTAGAATTAGCGGGCTGTTAGGAGGCAGTAAAGGGTATTTGCAGCCGGGTGTATATCATGTCTGTTTCTTCTTGCAGATGGCAGTCATCGGGCAGCAGTCCAGCACGAGCAGTAATCTCACAGAGCTCCAGGTGGTTAATTTGGACGCTACACACAGCAGTAAAAATGACTAATCAGGCTTTGAGCGCAGGTGGGGCGCAGAACCTGACATTACAAACTTTACCACTTATTTATTGTTGCCTTTTTCACGTTTTCTTTCAATCGTCTTGGTTTCCAACATGTGCCGGTGTGGCACAGAAGATGGCTTTATATGCACCCCCAAAGAGAAAGAAGCCCCCTGTCTGTACTAACTGCCCTCCCTGAAGTCTGCAGCAATGAAAGGGTTAATATTAAATGCCTGCGCTCCCTCATGCACTCTAGGTAAACACGTTATTTTGCACTGACATGGTGTGAGTGGGCGCATCTACCCTATGTATCTGTTACATATAAAAACTGAGGACCTGGTGTGCTTGACCTGGGTGCACATAGGGTGGTTCTACTGGACTTGGCTATCTGGCAGGTCATGTGCAGGGGCGGCTCGGTAAGCAGGAAGTAAATAGAAGAAAAAGACCCCTAAAAAGAAAAATCTATTTTTCTACAAGTCAGTTTTCAGTATTTACATTTAGAGGTAAGCTACGCCTTGATTGATCCCTAAACAGCTGGTATAAGAGTCTGACTTTGCAGTGTCAGCACAGGAGCTCACTGGCACAAGGGCCCTACAGACTTGACGTTCTCAATGCACAGCCATCCAGTACACTCAAATCTTGTTTTAAATCATGTGTTTATCTGGCTGAGAAAGCGATCTTCATAGGAAGCTGTTATTCTGACTTATTCTCCTGTTTCTGTGTGTGGCAGGCTCCAGTGATATTTACAGTTCATGTTCTGCATTCTTACAAATTGACACATCAGGGAAAGACACAAAACATTTAACTGAATAAACACGTGCTCAGTAACAGCCACATGGGTCCCAGAAAGTGTGGGGTTTTTACTGTGTTTTCCCAATTTTCTGTATACAGTTTACCTCACCAGTCCCATATATTTGTACAGAAAGCATTGTATGGTGGCAGGGATTTTATTTGCTGGTCAGAAAGCTTGCTCTGTGTAGATATATAGTGAATGCAGAGCCTTGTGTATTAATATTTCAGTCCCAAAAGGTTGACCGGAAAAATAAATAAATGACTTGCTGCTAAATAAGAGTGCCTTCCCCATATTCCGACCACTGTTCTGCTCCTTACTATAACCAATACCGTTCTGTCACATCTGCACAGACAGTTGGTCAAGTGCCAGTTTTTTAGGGTAGGTGGCCAGGGCGTTAAAACAACTTGCACATTTTTACTCTGTCAGCAATCCAGGTTACATTTGGCAGAGTGCGGGAATATAATCAAAGCATACAGCAGCGTTGACGGGCGCGTGTGATGCATGTGCTTTGGGTGGTGAGGATTACCATAGAGTTCTGTTTGTGTATTTCAGCCTCTCTGGCCATAGACTAAACCTTCACTATACATATCCTTAGGCATTAAACACAGCTGGGTGAGTTAGCAGAAATAAAGTGCTTACTGGTTAAATGTTTTGCAATGTCTCAGACTTCATCTGACCGCCAGCAGGTCTTCAGATGTAGGCCACTGTTAAAACCTGCGTGGTGTCTTGGACTTCCTCAGACAGAGTTGGAACAGTTATACTTTGCAGGGTGTCTTGTGTGACCTCAGACATAGCTGGAACGGTTAAGCTCTGCAGGATGTCTCGTGTGACCTCCAACAGAGCTGCTGGAACGGTTATTCTTTGCAGGATGTCTTCTGAGTCCTCCGACAGAGCTGCTGGAACGGTTAAACTAGAAGCAACGGTTAAATGCTTCTAGTAAGTTTGTTTCTAGATCCTATTTTAGCCAAAGTGAACCCAAACTTGGGGGACTGTTTTATATGATTAAAAATTAAATTCAACCCAGCAAACCCTTTAACCCTTTAGTGACCGTGATTTAGAGACATTCATGACAAACATGACTTTATACTGACTACTAAGGGGTTAAACACGCTAACAGATAACATGAATTGATCACTCTATTCTCAACCATGAAAACGTGTTAATTTTTTTATTTCTTTTGATAATGGATTTTAACGTTTCTCTGTATCCCTCCTAGTTGGCACAAGTCTCACTATCATGGGCTCACAGGTCAATGACTGTGTCCTGGATTTTGAATACAGTGGAAATCTTTGTATTCACAACAAATGGGCTGTTTTATGCCAATTACCTTTTTCCCTTTTCTTCTTTTTTCCTTTCCCCTCTGACAACTTTTCCTGGCTGCTGGACTATATGGCCAGCGCCAACGTACCAGCAGTAGTGCCCATACAGTACTGTGCCAGTGAGGGGCGAGTGGACAGCAAAGGCTGGGAATACAGGCTACATGCTAACACTTGGGGTCCTGATTGGCTGCTGGGAGGTGCACCCCAAGCTGGACTCCTCAGGGAGGTGGGAAATTAGGGTGTATATCTCCCGCTTTTCAGTTATTCAGATTTTCATTTTGTTGTGCTTGTGTGTATTTTATTATGATGATGATTATTATTATAATAGATCTTTTCCTTGGAAAAGTTCCTGGGAGAAGTTGTGGAAGTTAAACACAGTACTGTGTACATAACCCCTTCTTTTGTATAAAACAAAAAATAAATGTATCATTTTGTGCACATTTTGAAATGCAAGGTGTCTTTCATGGGGAGAGGAGGTGGCTGAGTGTGGGATACCAGTTCTGTTAATACATACTTGTAGCGGATCGGCAGTATTAAATCCACGAATTCCGCTGGTTCAGAAAGTAATCCACAGTCAAGCGCTGAAAAGCAAGGCAATATCCCAAATCTCCCAGTAACCGGACGAAACACCGTTCTGAGAGTCAACTGAACGCTTTATTCACAGGCTCCACAATTTATACAATTCCCCATGCAAGGGGTTTCCTGAGACACATCCCAGGGGCCTTCCCAGAGTGGACTACGTGGGGAACTTACATTACAGAGCCTTTCCCCCATCAGGCACTGCTGCACGAGAGGGATCTTCCCACTGGAATGTACCGTTAAGTGGATTATCTCTCCGTGCAGTAGAACCGGCAATTTACTTAAAAATGTACAGTTTTTCGACTATTTGGTCTATTTGCATGAATGAACGTTCGGTAGATAGCTGGGGTCTGAGCGCATCATTCGTGAGATTACCGCTCAGATCCCAGCTAAAACAACCAAACGCCGCACGAAAAACACATTCATTAAAATATATATTTAAAAGACCGATTTGAAGTCTAGGGAACATAATACCGAACGGCCTGGAAGCTCAGCGGTGTTCGCGCCGTCGAGTAGCCGTTTTTAGTACCACGCGCTCGACGACCAAACACCGCTGAGGGAACAAAGGATCCAAGATGGCCGACCGCCGGATGGTCGGTAACCGAACGGCGGCCACCTAGGAGAGCCTCTAATTACCGATTGCAACATTGTCGCAATCGGTTAACAAGCGCCACACGTCTCTAAATGTGTGGGCTATTACAGGGTGGTTATTTCGGTTCACGAACGGCCCGCAAAGGTGCCGTTCGTGAAATGAAATACAGCTATCTGCGTTCGGCAGATAGCCCATACAGGACAGACACGGTATTACAGCCAGCATACATTATACTTAGTTAAACACATATCCCCCCAGACATACAGGCAACCCTTAAAGGCACAGTCTCTTTATATTGTCCAATTGGCTAGGTTTGCCACAATACTCACCTGAGAATGAATGCCGGCCAAGGCCAAATAGTCAGCAAAATCAGGCAATTGGAGATTTTAGTATTTTAATTTGTGTTTGCTGTGTGGCAAATCACCGTGAGATGGTTAACTAAACTTTTACTTTTCAAGAACCCTCCAGGGAATGTCAAATTTTTTTTTTTTTTTTTGACACACTTTGGTAAAGGTACAACAGTTTTAACACTGTATGGAAATAAACTATTCTATGATCAATCCCACCACACTCTGGGATGTCTAACAAAACAACCATGAAGCGGCATAATATATATTGTCTGGATAAAGAAAAGACAAAATTTAGAGAAATAAACGTCTGTGCTACAACTAGCAAGCTATAAAGTGAACTGTGAACCATGAGATACAACACGCTTCGTACACTCGCAGGTCAGCGGGGGCCGTTACTTTGCTTCGTACACTCGCAGGTCAGCGGGGCCGTTACCACGCTTCGTACACTCGCAGGTCAGCGGGGGCCGTTACTTTGCTTCGTACACTCGCAGGTCAGCGGGGGCCGTTACCACGCTTCGTACACTCGCAGGTCAGCGGGGGCCGTTACCACGCTTCGTACACTCGCAGGTCAGCGGGGGCCGTTACCACGCTTCGTACACTCGCAGGTCAGCGGGGGCCGTTACCACGCTTCGTACACTCGCAGGTCAGCGGGGGCCGTTCTCTCAATACATATAATTACAAGTAAGTGGGGCTAGCAAGCTATAAAACTGCTCTTGTGACGTGGAGATCTATATCAGGCCATAAAACATCAGATCCTAGGATAGAAGTCAGGTGTTAAGTTACCACTCTAAACTAGCGTACACATGAAGCCTTTTCACTCCCCAATGGCTGACCCTGATCTAATAATTACTAACACCTAGCGAGCTATACATCGAATAATTACAGGCACCTAGCATGCTATACATGTAATGATACCTATTGAGCAATAAATCGATTTACTGATCACTAGTGAGTTAACCTAATAACCACTGACCATTAGTATCCAGTTAATAGATTTATTATATATACTTTATTTGCCTTTTTTGGCTTGGGCATGCAAATCAAGGGTTTTTAACCCCGTATGTAAAAAGACTGTAGGAGATTATAATGAGACAGAGGTAAGTGGTTACAGGTTCTTTTTTTAAACCGCAATTGGATAAATACTTTCAAAAACATATTCAGGGATATCCTTTTTATTAGTGGGGTAATAGCTTCTTGATCCAAGGAGAGATCTGATTGCCATTCTGGGGCCAAGACAGACATTTTTCCTAGTTCGTTTTAAAATTTGGAGGTGCTTCAATCGTAAAAACAGATGTGAGAAACGCTGAACTTGATGGACGCATGTCTCTTTTCAGCTATGTATTTAATATACATGAGAGATGCCTCGGACGATCGTTTCGTTACTTCTCTAGGCATTGTGAGCATGGGGTCAAAGTCTGGATTACCTTTTGAACTTGGGGAGAGCCAAGTTAATCCATTGCAACAAAGAATCTGAAAACGGAATAAAGCTGATCACACCCAGTCCAGAACCGAAATGCCAGCAAGTTCTATCTGCACGAGAGATACAGCAACAACGGATGATCGCTTCAGCCTTCTATATTTCTACTTTAGCAAATATCCTAATGTAACGGAACTCCCCGTACTCCGACCGAGTACCTTCTGTTGATGGACGCTTCATAGCTTGCGCCGAGGACTACAAGCACTGCACAGGACTCCACAACCACCGTAGCTTAACTGGAGTCTCGCCGTCTTCCACCCTCGATCAGCTTCTGTCCTCCAGGACCATGTGGTGAAGACCTCTCCTCCAGGAAAGCGTATCAGGAACAAGCTCTTACAAGAGCTTAGTAGTGATTTAGCAAGGGAGTATGATAAGCATAGCAATCCCTTGTAGCAGATTCACCCAATAAGAGACGGCACTCCAAATTGAGGGTGAAGTAGAACTGACTGTACTGGCACATACAGCCTCTTTTATTCACATTCTGCAAACCTAGTACTGCCCACAGGGTTTTGAAGAACAACCAATCAACACATTACAACACAGCTAACACTCCCATTCATTACATCAGAAATCCTCCCCTCTGCCTGTGATACAATTATCTCAACACAATAGACTAACCTAATTATCGCAGGCAGGAAAATACAGTATTATAAAACATATCACAGGGACCCCAAAACATGCAATAACCCCATAAAATATATCCTCGGAACCAAGGATCTGGTTGAACCACATATTCAAAATTCACCCAGATCCGTTCAGTAGTTTGGAAGATACGGTTTAATGCAGATTCTGCAGAACATATACAGGCTATATGAAAAATAATTACTGTTAAATGTGTCCCCTGTTCTGTAGTTTAAAACTACTGAACAATGTCTTTGTGCACCAAATACCAGCGAGATGGCACAGTGTAAGAAAAGTCAAAACCGTGTCTGTGAGTTAAAATGTCTGTCATCCATTGTTCTCACCATGTGCCTCTGATACATGAATTGGTGGCCACCCAGGAACTCCACAGTTTGTCTTGTAGTTTATCAATAGACTGCAATATTTAAGTTTGGATTCCAATATTGTTGAATGGGTAAGGCAGTGGCGGAGTGACAGGCAACAGAGGGTTGTAGTCAATGGAGTATATACGAAGCATGGGCTTGTCACCAGTGGTGTACCTCGGGGATCTGTACTTGGACCAATTCTCTTTAATAGTTTTATTAAAGGACCACTCTAGGCACCCAGACCACTTCAGCTTAATGAAGTGGTTTGGGTGCCAGGTCCTTCTAGGGTTAACCCATTTTTTTATAAACATAGCAGTTTCAGAGAAACTGCTATGTTTATGAATGGGTTAAGCCTTCCCCCTAATCTTCTAGTGGCTGTCTCATTGACAGCCACTAGAGGCGCTTGCGTGCTTCTCACTGTGATTTTCACAGTGAGAGCACGCCAGCGTCCATAGGAAAGCATTGTAAATGCTTTCCTATGAGACCGGCTGAATGCGCGCGCAGCTCTTGCCGCGCGTGCGCATTCAGCCGGCGGGGCGTAACGGAGGCGGAGAGGAGGAGGAGAGCTCTCCGCCCAGCGCTGGAAAAAGGTAAGTTTTTACCCCTTTCCCCTTCCAGAGCCGGGCGGGAGGGGGTCCCTGAGGGTGGGGGCACCCTCAGGGCACTATAGTGCCAGGAAAACGAGTATGTTTTCCTGGCACTATAGTGGTCCTTTAATGATATTGGAGAAGGTCTTGAATGTAAGGTATGTCTTTTTGCTGATACTAAAATTTGTAACAGGGTTGATGTTCCAGGAAGGATAAGCCAAATGGCAAATGATTTAGAAAAATTGTCAGAGTTGTGGCAACTGACATTTAATGTGGATGTGACGGACCGTCCGTCAATCGATGCTCCTAGCGCTTACCAAGGACCATCAGCACCTCATCGGACACCATAGCTACCTCAGACTCCACGAACCACCGTAGCTTGGTTGGGATTTTGCCGTCTCCTTCCCACCCTGGTCCAACATCTGGACCCAGGACCTCTCGTCCAGGAGGGTATAGCTGTGGGACGTCTCCTCCAGTATAGCTGAAGAGGGCTCTTACAAGAGCTAGCATTGATATAGCAGTTATAGCTGTTCCCTACAACACGAGACGAGTCTGCGAGTTGAGGGTAAGAAGGTCTGGTTTATTGAGCACAAAGGCATTTCTTTTATACACATTTTCAGGCCAGAGGCACACTCCCTGGACCTGATGGAACACAGGGCCAAAAGGGACACAAACCAGTAGGAATAATAATTATTACGGTAACACTCCCACATACAGTCAGCAAGCCCTCCCCTCTGCCTGTGATATAATTAAAGGATCACTGTAGCGGAACTGCAATATTAAATCCCAATATCTCCGCTGGTAAAATAACGTAATCCAAGGAAAGCGCTGAAAATGAAGGCAATATCCCAAATCTCCCAGTAACCGGATGAAACACAGTTCTGAGAGTCAACTGAACGCTTTATTCACAGGCTCCACAATTTATACAATTCCCCATGCAAGGGGTTTCCTGAGTCCTATCCCAGGGGTATTCTCAGAGTGGACTACATGGGGAACTTACATTACAGAGCCTTTCCCCCATCACGCACTGCTGCACGAGAGGGATCCTCCCACTGGAATATACTGTTAAGTGGATTATCCCTCTGTGCAGCAGAACCGGCAATTTACTTTAAAATACACCATTTTTCGACTATTAGGTCTATTTGCACGAATGGACGTTCGGTAGATAGCTGGGGTCTGAGCGCATCTTTCGTGAGCTTACCGCTCAAATCTGACACAGTTTTGCGCGAACACCGCTGAAGCCGCCAACCTCCCTTCTTGTTCGGTGAAAGTGCACAAACGGCCCGGTGTTCGGTAGTTTTGCTTGAATGTGTTATACCCCAGATAGGAATCCCATGGAGCTCATTCGCATGAAACTGACTGTGTAAAGACTTTAGCTCCATGGCGATTACACTGTATTCGTGTGGTCTGAGCGCCATTCGCTTAATAATGTGCGCTCAGACCTGAGCTATCTGGGGATATGTATGCTTTTAATGTTATGTGTCTCACTTAGTGTATTTTAATAGTAATTCGTGTGTTAGTATCCCCACGTGCATAATTGCGATTTGCCTTTGTCTTGGGAGATAATTGAATTACTTCTCAATTATCTCCAAGGCAGAGGGGAGGAAGCCAGGATGCATTGTGGGAATATACTGTGACTGTGTGTCCTATTTGTCTACTTGTCTGTCCTTTGTCACGGTCTCCCATTTGGTCCCCTAGGGGAGTGTCCACCAGGTGGGAGACCTGCATAAATACTGGGCAGGTAGCCCTCATTAAACAGACCACTGCTTGACCGTCAACACGGAGCCTTGTCTCGTCTTTGGGGGGGATTTACTGTATGCTGTTAGAGACTGATTGCCAGGAGCGTAAGCTGCTTGGGTGCTTTTCCTGTTCGTCTGCTAGCAGCTATTCGTGAGGTTCCAGTTCGGGAGTTTGGAGCATTCCCTTGAATGCAGTTCGGGAGTTTGAAGCATTCCCTTGTATTCAGTTCGGGAGTTTGGTGTTCTGCAGTAGCTGTGCCTGTGCATCTGAAAGGGGGAATATTGCCTAAACGGTTTTAACCCCTTGTGTGCTGAAACGGTCCGTTACATACATTAATAGTCTCTAGTGGCTACTTTTGCCACAATGCTGCCCCAGAACCAAGCCGGCATACACAGTCTGATCCCAACGGATCGGCTTGGGGATGTCCGGAGGAGTACTCCCAGATCACTTGTCAAGTTCAGTTTGTCTGGACAACCCGTCGGCGTTGCCATTTAGCTTTCCCGGGCGGTACTGGATCGTAAAGTCAAAATGCTGCAGCGCCAAACTCCAGCGCAACAGCCTGGCATTGTCTCCTGATACCCGGTTCAGCCAGACCAACGGGTTGTGATCTGTGAGTAACGCAAATGGTTGTCCGTATAAATATGGTTGTAGTTTCTTGAGGGCCCACACCATGGCAAGGCATTCTTTTTCAATGGCGGCGTAGCTTACTTCTCGAGGTAAAAGTTTTCTGCTTAAGTAAGCCACGGGATGCTCGCCGCCATCCGCTCCGACTTGGCTCAGTACTGCTCCCAATCCAAACATAGAAGCGTCTGTATGGACGAGAAAGCGTTTAGTTGGATCAGGAGCAGCGAGTACAGGTGCATTAACAAGAGCGGTTTTAAGTTGTTGGAATGCCATTTCACACTCTGGGGCCCATACTACTAACTTGGGGAGATTCTTGCGTGTCAAATCTGTGAGGGGTTTGGCCAGGGTACTGTAATCGGGCACAAATTTTCGATAATACCCTGCGGTACCTAGAAATGCTAAAACCTGGGTTTTGGTGCGGGGGGTTGGCCATTTGGCTACAGACTCTATTTTGGCCGGTTCCGGTTTCTGTTGGCCACTTCCTACTCGGTGTCCTAGATATTGGACTTCGGCCATCCCTATATGGCACTTACTGGGTCTAAGACGGCCCCTACATGGCTCAGGTGGTCGGTCCAGGAATAGATAAAAATCGCTATGTCGTCCAGATAGGCGCACGCGTATTCCTGAAACCCGTCTAATAGTCGGTCTACCATCCTCTGGAAGGTGGCTGGAGCGTTTTTCATTCCGAATGGCATGACTCTAAACTGGTGACAAACGCTGACTTAGGGATGGCGTCCTAAGCTAAAGGAATTTGCCAATACCCTTTGCAACGGTCGATCGAGGTTAGATATTGGCCTCGGGCCATTTTGTCTAACAGCTCGTCTATGCGTGGCATGGGGTAGGCATCTGATACAGTTTTATCATTAAGCCGTCTATAACCACGCAGAAGCGGGTTGTCCCATCCCGCTTCGGCACTAGTACCACTGGGGACGACCAATGCTCAATAACCCCTAATTGTAGCATTTCTTCAATCTCCTTATGCATATGCTCTTTTACCGCTTCTGGAATGCGGTAAGGAGGTTGACGGAGGGGTGAATGCGGTAAGGAGGTTGACCCGGGAAGTTTGGAGAAGGTGGCTCCCTTCTTCCTAATTAAACTCTGGGCCTGGGTTTTCTCCTGCGAAGTCAAGCGCTCCCCTTACTGTACTGCGGCTAACTTCTCTTTTTGGGTTTCCCTGGCGAGAAGATCTGGTAATGGCAAATAATCCGCGTCCTCGGCAGCAGAGGCACATATTGCGGTCACCTCTTCCGTGCGCTCGTGGTAGTGTTTCAGCATGTTCACATGAAGCATGCGTCTCCCCCCTGCCCCAGCGCATGGGCCAATTATATAGGTGGTATCGCAGATTTGCTCTACCACCTTGAATGGGCCCTGCCAGGAGGCCTGCAGCTTGTCAGTAGGTATGGGTCGTAGGATCAGCACCTTCTGCCCGACCTGAAAGCTGCGGTCCCTGGCCCCCCTATCATACTATCTACGCTGTCTTTGCTGGGCCGCTTGAAGGTTGGTACGTACGGTCTGGGTCAACGCCTCCAAGCAGTCCCGGAATTCCAGCACATATGGTACAATAGGGGTACCATTAGTGTTCACTTCCCCCTCCCAGTATTCTCTGATTAAATCTAGGGGGCCCCTCACTCTTCTTCCAAACAATAATTCAAAGGGAGAGAACCCAGTGGATTCTTGGGGAACTTCCCTATAGGCGAACAGTAAGTGGGGTAGGAATCGTTCCCAGTCTTTCTGCGTGTCTATGAACGTCCGGATCATTTGTTTCAGCGTTTGGTTAAACCGTTCACAGAGACCATTAGACTGGGGATGGTAGGGAGAGTTTAGGATAGATTTTACCGCACATACTTTACAGAGTTGGTGAGTGACTTCTGCCGTGAATTGGGTACCTCTATCCGAAATAATCTCCCGGGCAATCCCATGCAGGAGAATATTCGCATAAGGGCATCCACCACGGTCTCGGCATGTACGTTAGTTAGGGCCACTGCTTCGGGGTATCTGGTGGCGTAGTCCACTACGGTCAAGATGTACTTCTTGCTGGAGGGACTGGGTTTCTTCAGCGGTCCTATTATGTCCACTGCTAAAGGGTTCTTCTATTATGGGTGACAGTTTAGCTTTATATCTGTCTCCCCTTTTTCCGACCCTCTGGCAGGTATCACAGGTATTGCAATATTGTCTAATATCTTGTGAGATACCTGGCCAGAAGAAATTCTGAGTCAGCCGATGTTTGGTTTGGCTGATTCCTAAATGCCCTGACAATGGTATGTCGTGTGCTATGCGCATTAACTCTTGCCTGTATTTCCGAGGCACAATTAACTGTTTTATGGGGATGGGAACAGATCCGGCCACTATCTTCTCAGCATATCGGTATAATAGCCCTTTATCCCAAGCATATTTTTCTCCTTCTAGGCCTGCCTGGTTCTTGTCTATTCGGTCTTTATAAACCTGCAGGGAAGGATCTGGAGCGACCTCGCTAACAAATTCTAAAGGGGCATCCCAGGGTAGGGTAGTGTGATTGGGGTTGGCATTGCTTACCTGAGCCTTAGAGTCGGTGGGTGGTGCCGTGGTGCAAGCCTGTTGTCGGGTGACGACTGGGTAGACCTCCTGCGTGGTAGGTTGTGGAACAAAAGCGGAGGTGAGCTCCCCCAAGTCATTTCCCCCCAAAAATCTGCTGGCAAGTCTTGCCCGGCCCCCGCTCCCCAATTCAAATGTATTTTGGCAGTGGGAACTTTGTAAATGGCTCCCCCTGCCACCCGTACCGCTATGCAATCCCCCGTGAGTTGTTCGTTTGGAACCAGATGGTTTCGGACCAACGTTATGGTTGCCCCGGAATCTCTCAGTCCTTCCATACGCTTCCCTTCTATATGGACCACTTGTATATGGCTTTGGCGGTTGTCTGACGCCCTCATGGAGCGTGCCTAGTGGTTCTTCCATTTGGGTGGTGGTGGATGGTTGTGCAAAGGCTCCGGTCTGATAGCAGTGTACTGCTGCTCTAGGTCCCAGTGTTTGTCCTTGGTTGTGCCCGGATGGTCGTGCCCGGTTTCGGGGACAATCGCTTTGTACATGTCCTAGTTGGTTGCAGGTATGGCATCGGATGTGTGCTCGGTTGTTGTATCGGGGTTGGTACTGATTGTAGGCTCCCCCTGATCGTGGGGGGTCCACCACGGCAGGCCGATATGTGCTTGCCTGGGGAAATACTTTAGGTAGGGGCCGCTGTTCTCGCCTAGTATCTTGGTGCTCGTCCGCGAGTTTAGCGGCATCTTGTAAGGTACCGGGTTTACAGTCCCTTACCCAGTTCTGCATCTCTGTGGATAATCTCCGGTAAAATTGCTCCAATAGCAGTAGCTGCATGATATCCTACTTGGTGGTTGCTTGCGCGGCCTCATTCCACCCGGTGGCTGCTTTTTGTAGGTGATGTGCAAATTCAGCATGAGAGTCTTTCTCCTGTTTTTTCAGATCCCGGAATTGGAGTCGGTACCCCTTTCGGAGTAATGGCATACCGAGCTATGATGGCTTGTTTTACTTTTTGGTAGTCTCTGCTGTCCTCATCTGGCACGGCTCTGTAAGCTTCCGCTGCGCGGCCAGATAATTTACCAGCCAGCAGGGGCACGGGCAGGGCCGGATTAACATAGGGGCTGATGGAGCTACAGCTCCAGGCCCAGGCCCAGGCCCATGGAATAGGCCCATTAATTTTAAAAAAAAAAAAACATTTTTTTTTTCACACACTACTCTTAGGGATTCCACCTGGCTTTTATTTTATTGGCACAGCCAGTATTTGAGGCTGACTGGCTGGTGCCAATATTGCAGTGATACTGGCAATACAAATGCTTGTATTTTTCTCAGTATAAACAAGAGATTACTATGCAATACCAGCACTGGCCAGTAGCGGTCGCTGTATGTGGAGACAGGCAGGGATAGGAAGTTCCAGCATATCCCTCCCTGCCTATCTATACTCACTGCTCTGCAGGGGTGCAGCTACAGAGAGTCCAGACAGCAACTCCCACCCTGCAGAGACAGCCTACAGCTCAGGGAAGTAAGGGATGGGGGAAAGGCTGCAAGGAGACATACACTGAGACACTAAGGGACACTGGGAGACATTATGGCAGACACTGGGACACTAAGGGACACTGGGAGACATTATGGCAGACACTGAGACACTAAGGGACACTGGGAGACATTATGGCAAACACTGAGACACTAAGGGACATTGGGAGACATTATGGCAGGCACTGAGACACTAAGGGACACTGGGAGACATTATGGCAGACACTGAGACACTAAGGGGCACTGGGAGACATTATGGCAGATACTGAGGCACTAAGGGACACTGGGAGACATTATGGCAGACACTGGGACACTAAGGGGCACTGGGAGACATTATGGCAGACACTGGGACACTAAGGGACACTGGGAGACATTATGGCAGACACTGGGACACTAAGGGACATTGGGAGACATTA